GGGGGCAGGTAGAGACGCGAAAATCGAGGAAGGAACGAAAACGTGTTCGCTGGATGCTGCGGAAAACAACGACGGGCGAGTCGATGGCGGTGATTATTATCGGGAAAAAAGGGGGTATCATTACGACGAGCAGCGTTGAGCCAGGCGCGCGCGTCACAGCCATCAAAACGACGCCCGTCTCGCCCGCCCCGCCCCGCCTTGCCCCACCCCGCCAGCCACGCAAAGCTACCGCGCCAGGAGCCCGGCGAGTGCGCCCGCGGCCGTCACGACACGGTGGGCCAGGACGGTGGCGTCAGGACTCGAGTCTTCCTGAGAGAGAGAGAGAGAGAGAGAGAGAGCGAGAGAGCAAGCGAGCGAGCAAAAGAGGAGGGCCGCCCTTTGCGCCCTATGGTGACATGGCTTGTTGCCGTACCCCCATACCTCAGAGTCTCTCTTCCTACCATCCCTCTCTGTCCACCTCCCATATCTCCCTCTTATCCCTTGTCCTCCGCTCCCCTTCCTCCTGCCCATCCCTTCCCCTCCCACTGCAAAAAATTATAAATAATCCTGAAAAATTACTGATCCTACAATTTTCTATGAAATTGTGCATTTCTAAGGTGTGTTCACTATTTACTGCTGCAAACTAAATAATGTACGTTTGTTTTTACGGTGCTCCCTTTTCCCCCAGCCGCACGACACGCAGTGCCGAGCGCGCACGCGTGTGTGACAAGGACAGACATGATTGCTCCTTGACGGCCAAGGCTGCCCCCGAATGGCCGCGCAGGAGCCAACTGGATGGTCTCGCCGTGCCCTCGGGCCTGTCGGCGCCTTGCGCGACCACCGTGCTCGCGTGGTCTGCTCGGCGAGTCTCCTCGCGCTGCCTGCTTACTTATAACAGGAAAACACTGCGGGAGCATGAACTGTACGCCCTCTTTGCGGCATATGGGCGTTTGAACACGTTTCCAACACGAAACTACCGGTTGAAGGACAGAAATATTCGCACCGCGCAGTTTGCACGGCGCCTTGCGTGCACAGGATAGGCAACCCTCCCGCGTGCGTCCGCAGCGGGTTGCCTACCCCGTGCTGGCAAGGCGCTCGGGTGGCGACTGGCGAGGGCGGGGGGTCGCGTAAAGGTAACCTACGGAAGCACGTTCAGATCTCACGAACTTAATTGGGGAGTTTGACCTGCTTGCGTTTAAAATTTTAATTATTTCAATATTTTTTTTTTGGTGTTTGTTTTTTTTGTGCCAACTTGCTGCCAAAATAATTCCTATTTTTATGGGATGCCGAATGACAATTATTAAATACCAAAACATGCATTTAAAACTGATTGAATGAGGGCAAAATTTATTCACGAACTTTTATCGTGTAATGGTTGAGGTCTCTTAGTGTCAAAGCGACAAGTGCGCAAAAGTAAGTAGTTTCAGCAGCAACTTGTCATTTGCGCCATTCCGAGTTGGCGCGAGGGTGTCGTGTTGGAAGGAAGGTGTCTCTATTGTGAGGACGACGCCTAGTGAAAACAAACAAAACAAAAAACTTTGCAAATAGGCTCGTAGACTGGCTGTCAACTAGGTCCGACGAGGCCGTGAGAAATTCGGTGAATCGTTACCTTGCCTTCGCGTCAGTGTCGGTGGGGATGAGCGGCAGCAGGATCGTGGTGATGCTCCTTGGCGTGCCGAGCTAGGTGCAGGCAGCCAGCGACTGCATGATGGCTGCCGCGCATGGGGGCGGGACGAGGCGTGGCGGGGCGTGGCAGGGGGTGGCCCTCCGCCCCGGCGTTGTGCGCAGCCATGTGTGACACTCTGCGCTGCCTGCACCGGATAGCTCAGCCATGGCTCAGCCTGCTCGCATTACACTGTCAAAGAGGGACACGGAAAGCAAAACATTCATAACAATTCAGTAAGGTTCTCGCCACGTTAGGATACGAGTAAGTTTATGCGACTATGTTGGTCCTAAGTACAAGAAATTGGAATTGCATTCCAGTGCAATTCCAATTTTGCACCTGCTCCTCCGTTTGTTAACAGTGTGGCGTGATCACTTTGTGAGGCTTTTCAAATCGGAAGATGCATAGCCGGAATTTTTGTTGCATGCTTGCCTTTCTCTCAACCTCCAAAGGTTTCGATTTTGTGTACATCTTGATCTCGCAGAATTGAAAGAAAATAACCCTTTTGCTCCTGCAAAACCACTATTTTCATGGCAAGTCAATGAGAGACACGCGAGAGTTTTAGCGAAGAGTTATATAATGTGGATTGTATTTTTCGGTGCGCTCTGGAGGATTACGGGGTGGGTGGCCATCGACCCTCAACCCCTAATAATGTAGGGGGGTGAGGCATAAACGCACCCTCCCAGGAAGCCCAAAAGCAACCCCTCCCCCACTCCCGCATAATTGCCTCAGGATTTATTCGGCCGGTGCAAGGTAGGCCGGTCGTGCTAGAAAAAAAAAGCAGAGGATGACAAAGCCAACAAGAGAATTTTAATAAATCAACGTTTATTAAAATTAAGCTTTTTCAAACATTGCAGGGTGGCCACGCAACCTGGAAGTCAGGGAAGTCAGGGAAAAGTCAGGGAAAAAAATACTGGTCAGGGAAGTCAGGGAAAAGTCAGGGAAATTGAACGTTGGTCAGGGAAAATGACTGAATCTTGCCCCAAATTGTTGTTTTCAAACTTTCGGTGGCATTTTCAATTTTTTGGGAGGAAAAAAGTTCCATTTAAAATACATTTAAAAGTCAGGGAATTCGCGTAAAAAGTCAGGGAAAGGTCAGGGAAAAGTCAGGGAATTTGAAAACTCCAATTGCGTGGCCACCCTGAATCATTGTCTTTTGTACAAATTTGTGTGAAGTCGTTTTTTTAATATTTTTGACAGTGTCACTGAAAACTCAACAGTGTGCATTGCACACATTAGATACAGTGTGCATGGCATGCACACGTTTTTACTATTTCCTTTCAGACGGATAACTTTGGACAGTGGATGACATTCTCA